AGTTTGTCATGAACAGTATGGGACGAAGAGGTAAGCCAGGTTTGTGGATTTTTCAATGTGGATTCTTCGATGGATTGGCCTTGAAAGAACTGTCTATCCGAAACTCACTTGGTGTTGCAAACAAGGTTATTGTGATGAAAATACACTTCCTGGGTACGAGTATATGAATGAACTGACAAAAGATTACCGGATACGCATGCCTGACGAGCGGCAAGAACCGCGAAACCGATCGTGTGCTTCCAGGGAAATTTTGTCCAGTCATCCATATACTACTCGGTATTTATTATTATTTATATATATACTGTCTAACGACATCAACTTATGAAACTGAGAATAAATTCAACGGATGAACAACAGATGTTCATAGAAAGCTGCGTATCAACGTGGCCCGCTCACAAACAACCCTTCAATCTAGAGGATTTCGGTTGCTTCTTGATCACCGTCACTGACTAGGGATTGAAGCAAAATGAAAAAAGGACTAGCAATTAGTTGGAAGTTGAATTGCCGACTCTAAGAGGTACTCACTTTGTACATTGAATTTGTATTGTTCCGTCCAGTCAGGTTGACGGAATTCAACAAGAATTCGAAGAGCAAAGGACATGGATAAGCAGCTAACGCGGCGAACAGATCCGTCAGCAACAGGTTTGTGAATAGGCAATTCATGTGCAAGTTCGACAGCCGACTTAACAGGATCCATAGAAAAGGGCCTGACAAATAAAAGAGATCAATAAAATTTCGGATGGGGAGATAGACGGATTTGGAGGAATCGCAGATTGGAGTCCTAAGATAACTCATGATTGTTACGGAGAAAAGATAAACAAAATCGATAGGTGTTCGAACACTGCCATTGGCGCCAGACTCCACGAGTCTTGTAAAATAAGTAAACGAGGATACTTAGCTTAAGAGAAGAGAATTAAGAAATTACGATCGCACACTAGCACAAGTGCCTCGCTTCTATAAATTCAGACGATGGGTTCATATCCTAGGTATACTACTCAGTTAGGTTTCCTCTTTGGGTGACTCTTGCCGAGATAGGTAGTAGTTGTAAGAAGGTCAACAACGATCAGGTTGTATCCTGGTGTAAAGGTATGACAATTTTGATTAATAAGCTTGATCGCTGGGGTTCTCACGACCAGGCTAATCGATGATCAGAGGCACTGAGTGATTTTGTGTGTGATTAGCAGTATATCAGGTGCAAAAGTAGTCAACGATATCACTCCCACTCACCAATTCCACCGGAAACCGGTATGACGCCAGCATTTGGACGCCTATTCACGCTGGTGCCGGTGACGCTCACTCGTGGACTGTTCAGTCGAACCGAATGCAACGGTATGCTTGTTGCGGTTGTGCTCGGTCCCTCCGAGAGGTCCATCCCGGGAATCGAGTCCATCTCCATGCGAATTGAGCTTGTTTCCAAGGCCTCAACGTGAGTAGGAGAATCCGGCACAGGCATACCGGCATTTTTAAGCTTCTTATCCATAGTGGATATAAAAGCCGCATCGATTTCAGGACAACGCGATGGGCAAGGCGGCAGATGACCAAAGTGTAGACGACACTTCCACGGCGAACCAACCAAATCAAGACTGTGCATGAATCGACTCAAATCGGGGNGGTGTAGAACACGCTTCCATAACTATATTGGCCTCAGCTGCTGTCAGACAAGTACATACAGAGTCTTCTGTGGTAACATTCTGTTTGATTGGCAGGTAGGCATTTGTAGTTGGGGATAGACCGGGACTATCTGATGGACTTGATGAGCCCAAATGCGATAACCGGGAACGTAAGTTTTGACCTGGGATTTCCTGCTGTTTGGCGGAAAACGCCTCTTCTTCCGAACTATCCTCGAAATAGTTCAACTGATACAAAGACGATGCCTGTGCGCGGGACATAGTCGCTGACCGAACAGGTCGTGGAGAATCTAGATCCCCGTTTGATCGCACGTCTCCTCCTGAATTGCCCATATGTACCGCGCTTGAGATCTCTCGAACTGGGGAACAAACCTGATTGGTGAATGGTCTCTGAGGGGATAGATGAATGTCTTTACGATCTCGATGCTCATTTAATTCGAGCTCCTTGTCGGTGAGAGTCATGGTAAGCGTGGTCGAGGTATCCAAAGTGCGGGAGACGTAAGAAGAATGCCATGCGGAACAGGCCTCACGGCGCCGTCGAATACGTCTTTGAGTGCATCGTAAATAGGGAAAAAGAAAAGGCTTCTCCGGAGGATTCAAATCTGCCATCCGGGTTTGCACCAACACCCAATCATTTGGGACATCTCCGTTCTCACTGTGCGCAGATCGTTCCATGACACCTGAGAGACTGGCCGGTGAACGACGATCACGACTAAACAAAAACACAAAGACAGAATTCGTCTCAGACAGACAGCAGACAACGAAAGCCAACGTGAAAGATAAAATTGGCTTGATTTGAAAACAAACAGTAAGATGTGAGAATATCCAAAGGAGTGATTCGAATGAGAGGGAAAATTTGACATGACGGTGATTCATTCAACTGATATCGTTGAACAATTATAGCTATGTGTAACAGGCCAAAAAAGAAAAGTAATGGTACTTAAAGTCAATGTCTTGAACATTAGACGAGAACAACCTCGTCTGACGGATATTCCAAATCCGGTTCACGTACGAGCGACAGAGTTCAACCGAACTTGGTTACGCAAACCAAATTTTCCCTACATTTTTAGTATGGCATTACCGTTTGTACACCAAAATACGAAAGCGAAACGCATATTGACACCGGGGGTGATCCAGATGAGAAAGCCCGAGAAGAACGAGACAGAAAATAAATGAGGACCACGTAACACGAATTAAAAAAACAGGCAGGTGCTCACCTCAAAGGTAATGGCTCACACGGATCCGCATTGTGTACCCCTTCCGTGCTGGAACGAAGCACTTGCTGTGAGGTGTTCACTTCAAACCTTTTGCTTGGGGTAGCAGTGTTTGCCAAGGACATGAAACGATCACCAGAACGGACTAAATCTAGAGAGAGTTGGTTTGACGCTACCGCATGTGGTGTGGTGGGCTTATCCTCTTGGGACCGAGAAGGACGCCATCGGGATTGATGGTGCATTTTAGGTGACTGAGAAGAACTGTCTCCAGATGTGGTTGTCACTGGTGCGTCATAAAAAGGGATCAGATACCTGAAAGAAGTGAAAAAATAAACACAAAGGGAATTGCGTGAAGCTGAGAGATTAGAGTGGGGATATTCGTGCCGTTCTATTGTGAATAAGAATTATATATATATATATATATATATGTATATATATATATATGTATGTATATATATAATAGTTTTCACGAAAGGGGAAGCGACTAATCACAGGTCAACTATCACGAACCTGACGACAATTTAACTTTCTCGAGTGCTTATCATAAGGTCCGTTATAAAATGTCACACCATCCTCGAAGGATCCATCGGTTCATCTGCAACGAACTGAAGTGGTTGCGTAAACACGAAGAAAACTTTTTCGTTCAATAATAATAAATGTCTTTTCACTTCCTTTTTATTTACTGATATACAAATGTACAGTCAACTCTCAGGAAGGAGGCTGCGGCTATACAAAGGCTGCCTGGGAAAATACAGAAATAGGGAAGACGGGTGGCGGGAAGTCCGGGTCACAGTTCGGTGACCTAGATGAACAACCCACACAGATCCACTCAATCCTAGCTCAGGTGCAAGGTAGCCTAATTCAATAAACTTTACGTTGATACCAAGCTCGATGACAGCTTTTGCCGTCAGTTAGTTAAAAGGTTGAAACTACTTTGAGGTAGCTTAATTCAGCCAGTCAGGAGCTCAATAATCTGTTGATTCGACAAAGGATTTTTCGCAACCCTCAAAGAGATCTAACAACATTACCTATACTGACTGGCACCAAAGTGAAAATTGTCAGGGAGACGAAGGTCCTCAACCGTTCAGATGGACTATTCCCAAAGGTCTTCAAAAAGGATGCGAATCATTCGGAATTATATTCTCATCTATCTTTAATCAGAATCCGGTAGAAGGTAGACCAGCTGATACCTAGGTTGATATCCGCAACACTACTGTACTCAAGAGAGAGAGAGACTTTGCCCGATTGCTAATAGTTCGTACTACCCCCATACATCGGGCGCATCACTATTAACGCTCTGTTCTTCCTCGGTGGCTCGTTTAATGTAAACAGCAGCTTCCTNTATCAACACGAATGCCTGTAGGAGCAATTCCTCAGAAGTACATTAGACTGTGAACTATAAAAACATTTCAAGTCATTTGACTAAAACATCTTACGGTTATTATACCAACACAACCTTCCGCCCAAACTGTTCTACTGTGTGATTATCCGAATGATGAACGACACCTCACCTGTTGATGGCATTGTGTTTGATCATTTCTATACATCAAGATGAAACGCGATGCATAACTTTATCCCTTAATCTTTTTTTGTATTCAAAATTTACCACCTACTTCATTAGTTATCATTTATAAATATATCGGCAACGTAACCCTTGGAAATATATATAACCAAAATTTTGCTAGCCCTTGCATATCCATCATAATACGTTTTACTGAATGGTCTGACGGTGTTACCTTCCAATAGATCCTTTCAAAGGTGTTTGACTTGTTTTATATTACTCGAGGGCCAGTCACTTATAACGAGTTTTCAACTTTTCCTATTATTCTCCCAACCACTGAAGAGACACCTTAATCCAAAACTCTGTGTTTCCTCTAGGCTGGAATAAAATACGTCTATCCCACACAGAAAAATTTTCTGAAAGACTAAAAGCTGATTTAGTTACATGTCTGTGACATTTGATAGTGCCATTGCATTTAATTCGTAATATTATTTGTCACTGCAAGTAGCAGTCCTGTCATCTTTTAGCGTCTGTTCTCGGGGTGTTTTACTTCAATTATTGATGCTTTATAATGGGTATCCTGAAGCAAAGCATTGTTTCATTGGCAGAAACTGCTGACTTTTGTCGAATATGAAGAATGTTTTGCAGCGTGCAATCGTCTGCATGAATTAATGTAGTCCAACGCTTAGAACCCTCTGCAACCGACATGGTATTGCTCCATTTCTACTTCTGTCACAATCCCTGGATTTAAACTTACATACTCGTAACACAGCTTGCTACACCTCCGTGGTGGTCTATCTTTCGCAATTATCGGATTATAGGAAACAATTATCGGATGAACTGCAAGAAAACCTCGAATAACATCAGTTCTTTCTTCTCAAAGGTCATTTTACAAAATATTGTGGAGCTATGTAAGATTTGTTCTTGCATCTAAGCTGAAGTGTAATGTTCTTTTTCACTGAAAAGTTTGTCCGCACTAGGGAAATCAAAAGCAATCTTAGCTTGACGCGGGTGTAGAGGGTGAGGAGTGCGTAGATGTGTGATAAATAGCCTCCTGCAAGAGATAGGGGTTATATACGAGCAAAACGAGTTTCAGTGATAACTGATGTTTGATCATTGGTACTGATACTGGCATAATGTGCAATATTCCAGTGATAAATGGTAGCTATCTTACTGATGGCAATAATGGTATAGCCATTCTGTTGTCCTTTTGAGACGGGATATAAACTAGGTGGAAAGGAATTGTACTGACAGACTACTAGCAGTATCTTTTATTTTCCTCACCAAAAAACACCTGGTGAATCCACCGAACAAACTGAACAAAGACCGCAGATCAATAGAGCTTGAGAACATTTATTTTACGAGCTATTTGAACTTCCTGATTTGCTATTGCAGTAGCACATTTCAACGCAAGGGATACACGCCCAAAATGACTGGATCAGAGTAAACCCACAAATCCAGATTTCGGACTCTGTGAAAAATCAGTACACCCCGGTGAACAATGGCTCAAAACTAAGTAGTAACAGGGCAAATGAAACCGGTGCTTAGTCGAGGGATGATGAATGTAAAGCTACACTATAAAGCAAGATCCACAAACGATCGATGTCGAGAATGGACAGAGGGAAAGTGCACAAAATGGTGTTTCGGTTGACCCCGTTCAGTCGATCAATGTATCCATACACATGTGTATCCGGCTGCAAGCGAAACGCGGGAAGCGAATAAGTAATCGTTGGGAAAATTGGAAGGATAGAGATTGTTTGACTGACGGAGGTCATATGCAAATCTGTGGGAAAGACTACGTGCAACCAGCGAACTAAGGCTATGCATAACACAAAGATCTGCTATTCCTTCATTTGTCCATTATCCTTCTTATTTGCTAAATCATGTTGCTACAAAATTACACGCTCTGTGGATAGATTTCAGGAATTCACTCCACGGTCGAACGATTATCGATTGCGCGACCAAACACATTAATCCTTATTCTGAATCGGAGTAAAGGCACGTGTTTTTCCTTGTCGAACAGTACGTCTTCAGCATCGTGTGTCTCATCCCAATGCCGTTCACTTCACTGTATGTGTGTGATAAATTGCACTAGTATTCGTCCACCTCAAAGTTTCATACTGCCAGTAATGGAACGACAAATAAAAGCCTCGACTGGCCATTGACCTAATCCCCATTAGCAACCACTAGTTTCTAGTACGCATTGTTTATCTTCATTTATTTCATAAACAGTCTCCACGAATGAGTTTGTGGATCGTTTTATAATCTAAACATCTATTTACTGCATAGTAATTGCATAACCAGTATGTGTAAAGAGATTCGTAGCCAATATAAGGCTTATAATGAGTGGACAAATGAGTGATTGAAGAAGCAGGGAAACGTTGGAGGTGTTTTTCATTACACGAAAGTGAATACAGTAAAAGAGATAAACCCCATGATCCTAGAATAGAATGTACGTAGGAAGGTAAGGGGAACATTCATGCTAGAATCAGCTTGTTGGTTCTGTGTTTAAAGTCAAGGATGCTGTACGTTGGAGGGAAGACCAAAAGGAAGAGAGTGTTCCACAGTTGTGCTGTTCTTGGGAAAACAGATGATTGAGTTAGAAATGCGATACCTGGGGATAGACACTTGAAATGGGTGGCTAGCCGCTTGTGCGCGGGATCTACGAGGAAGATAAGGCGAGAAAGGGACAGAAACGGAAAGTTCACTAGAGCAAAATCCAAAGTAGTGCCAATAGAATAAGGATAAAGAAGCGACTGACTGACGGTGAGCTAGTGACTGTAAGTTACATGTTAGGGCGTTGATGAGACGAGTGGCCTTGCGTTGAACTCGATCAAGAAGAGAACGAGAGTTATGTGAGTCAGCTTTCGACTATGATGGAAGCGCATTTGTTGGGTTCACCCCAGTGAACCATCAACTTTTTTCGAGCTTCGAATTTGAATAATCGTGAGATTTAACGGCGTATGAAATCTAATCACCAACCTTTGGGAGATTTTACTGTAGGTACATTTTGTGAAAGCAACCTTCATGATCCGAAGCATAAAAGCATAACACAAGATCGACCTATGTTTGCTGTACCTTTAATCACACATTATCATTATTTAGAAGATAATCTAGAAGACATGACTTCAAAGTATAGGTTATTTATATGAGACAGCACTGCTATCAATCGATTTAACCTTCGACCAGCAGACTTTGCTTTGTGGCGGATGCGAAAAAGTAAAAGTAGTTATAGAGAAAACTTTGGCATGATAACAGTCCCAAACTCACTTCAACACTAGCTCATACATCACGTCCTCGCAATGAAAACTCAGAATCGTACGGAACAAGGACAAGGTGACCATTCCGAGCTGTAAATCAAATGGGCGGGAACAGAAATTCGAATGCTTAAGGCAATGGATGAGGAAAGCCACAAATAAGTGGTTAACAAACATACTGATGCCTTGATACAAGTTGACACGGGAAAAACTGATGCGCAAGCAAGCATGAGCACACATACGGAAAATCGTGCAACTTATCCTGAAGGCATTATCACGCAAACGGATATGTTTTTGGGGAGTAGAACCAGTCTGATACAGAAATGTCCCATAAACATTTTCCTTTCCAATAGATAAAATGCATTAGGGGAGAAGCAACCGATGGAGGTCGATTCATGGATACAGACGGGTGAGATCACAGTGCGAGGATACCACTTGGAGGAGCACCCGATTTGATGAACCGGTATTAAGCTATACTGTGGTATTCATTAGATGAAGAGGAAAAATCAGGGACACCAGTCATGACACACCTTGAATCCCGAGGTCTCAAACAACTACACCTGGCAATATGATCAATGAGCGATTGGTTGGGTTATCGCATAACCTTGGCATAGGTAACAAGGAGTGTTCGTGAGACAATAGTTGAAAACAGGCTGATCAAGGAACTGAGAATCTTTCATAGATGTATAGAGATCACTCCACAGCGTTTAGGCTATTCTGCGTAAGACACTTCACCAGTCAAGATGGGCGAAACACAAATAGCACGAATGATTGAAAGTGACTTTCGGCCATATAAGCGGCGTAAACGACGCCATAATAACAGATTACGTGGGTACGGACTGCTGATCCACAAAGAAAGGAAACAAACGGGTGGGCATCTTAAGTTCTTGTACCATAAAATCGAGCATTTTCAACAGGCTTGTACCTCTTGAACAAAGAAAGTGAACTTCTATGATCAACACGGAGCGCATAATCTACGCATATTCAAGTTCAAGTATTCTGACCTGATGAGAAATGACAAGAACATCAAGGCTGCCGGTTCGTTGCAATGTCCTTCGGTGTCTCCAACGCATCAGTTACTGGATGTCTGGTCCCTGTCTCGGAAGGCGAGAAACACCTACCTTACCCAATCCCCAGTGCGTTTCTTCAAGCCTCCTCGTTGTGTCGTTTATTAGCCTCCATGTTGTTTTCTTCAGCCCGGATGGTGAGGTGAGAATAAGGCGTTGTACAGCAGACGACCGTCAGACAAATGCCCTAACCAAAGAAGCCTACAAATCTGAATTCAATGTGATGACAAACTCCCCAGCGAATCATTTCAGAATACTAGTTGGCTCATCTAAGCGGCGCTTAAATGCTCTCTTTGTCCCCCTGTGCTAAAATATGTAAACATTGATGGTCGAAGATTTCTATGTGGAAAACTGATTGGAAGTGAAAGAACTGCTTGCTGATGACTGAAAAAAAGAATTAGAATAGTGAGGATTGACAGTTAACTGTCGATTTGTGATGCTTGTGAAATTCTACGGAAAAAAATTGGTTACACACGAAATCGAAAGAAGCGGCTGTCAATCGATTAATAATATCACATTCGAGCACCCATATGCCGTTAAAAATCCAAAGTAAGTCCCGGGGATTTATGTACCAGTGTGGCATTGTATTGTATTGGTGGTAAACGCAGTACTCAAACACTCACAGTGGAACAGCCTATCATTGATCCTGTCAGCGAGAGATATCAACAAACCGGAAAAATAACGAATATGTCTGACGATGATACAGTTCTCTTCTGTGATGAGCAGTTTATCGGATTGATTGCTTCATGCCTTGGCGTGTCTTTACAGCGATGGCATTAGGGATCCTGACATTTCTGGAATTTGATGATCGAAATTGTAATGCCACAATAAAACCCGTCCTACCAGAACCCCGTGCGGTTCGAAGGAGCGTCTCCTTGGAGACAACCTGCTGATGGTGGACTTTTACAGGATAGAGAACTCGAAGACTAGAGTATCACTTGGTGGACGCAGTACCGGTTTACGTGGATTGGTTTTGTAGTTATGGTATTAGGCAATGAATCACAACTTGGAACAATATTTTGCGATCATTCAAAGCTCAGTTAAGCACCAGTTTAATAAACCCAATCATATGTATCAGCAGGTTCCAGTGTTATCTTATTCCCCAGAAAGCTGCCGATTCGTCTCGTTCACTGGATTACAGAAAAGGAGCTTCTGGAATCCCGTGGGACCATCATCATTATCAGCGCATCTCGCTGAACGACGATAATGATGTAGAACCTGTACAAACTGGGTTCAGATGGTGGTACAATGGAATAATAGTGAATGTAATGGTTATGGACGCTCGGTGATATGGCAACATCGTAAGCAATGGCACTCGTGCATCTTCACAATTTCTTTGCAATCTTATACTATCGGAATTCCCCATTTCCTCTTCCATACTGCCTTCAACTTTCAAATCTTCTTTCTACTCCCTCACTCAAATGAGTAGATAAAAGACAGCAACGAGGAGTGCTATACGAAGGTGCATGGTTGATGCTTTTTCAAACTGAAACTGCTTGTGCCCCAAGGATATCCGGTGGATCGCTTATGGATGCTAGGAAAAGGGGGTAACTAAGTACGGATCCTTGTGGATCCCCACAGACAGCTTGGACGGGTCCCGATGGCGGACCATGAATTGGAACTGCTGCGGTACGTTGGCAGAGAAATCCCTCAATCCAGTCAAGGAGCAGTCCGCGAAGACCGTGGTTATAGAGCTTTCACAGCAATATATGGTGGACCATTCTGTCAAAAGCTTCAGAATCCGAAGTAGACTATATCTAACCTCGAGCAATTAACGGATCTCCGGTGTAGGACCGTTTACGTCGAAACCCGTATTGAGCTGGTGCGAGAATGTTACATTTCTCTAACTACTCCATTAGAGAGTCAGGAACAACCGACTCCATTAATTTTAACCATCAGGAAGAAATGTATCTGGATGGTAGTTCACGGGACCACCTCGACAACCGCCTTTTTAAACAGCGGAAATTACATCGTGCTTCCAGGACTGAATATGCCATTTACCGATAGGCTTGATCTTTGTTGCGGCATTGGAGTTCCACAGAAGCGTCAGGACATCATAGGATCAAACTATTCTTACGGGAGGGGCCATTGTTTGGATGACGCAAGGTTATCCAATTTGTGTAGTCAATAAAGGTGCAAACGCTGATTTTCAGGCATCCCTTTATGTAGGCGTTATAGGTGTAATAGAAAAGAAGATCTGTGCAGTAGCTGTACCCCGATGAAGATGGGATTTTGACAAATCCTACTAGGAACTCGTCGCTTGACTCGTTGGATAGAGCGTAGAGTTTTTTTTCAATGAAGGCCATGCTCGTAGAAGTGATCACTTTTGCGTGCGTCAATGAAGAACCAAATTCGGTTTGGACAATCGAGCGACAGAATGATGGTATACGTATCAAACGATGGAATTCATTGAACTGAGTTGAATGAGAGTCAACTCGACGTTAGGCGAAGNNNATTAAAACGGAGAGCGCACAAACTGATCAACTGCATAGCACACACATTAACAAAATGGCTTTCGGATCCCGGTTGAATAGCATATAATTACTGTCGCATTTGACGATTTCTATGTAAGAATCAAACATGGCTTTTGTATGATCACACGCTGAATTTCTTCGTTTAAAGAGCCAACAAAGTGTGATGTGAAAAGCTAAGAATTACTGCACAGTTTAGTGAACAAGCTTATTTTAGGCGACCCATTAACTGGCTAATACATCCCATTTTATCGCATGGTTTTGTATAGACAAAAAGCAAGAAATGAATAGACAAATGGAGGTGGTTTTGTTATCTGTATCGGTCACACAAACCAGATACGGCTGGTCTTGCTTCGGGATGATTTTACGCTTGGTTACACCTTCAGATCTGGCTGGGTATCACAAACAGTGGGAACCTACCGATCCGACTGAGGATTGCGCGGCCACAGAGGCACAGGCAACTACACACTTGTCCAAAGGGTAGCTTACCATACACAACATAGTACAACTCATGTTGGTAAGCTTGTTTCGGGCATTAAATCTGCTCGCCCCTGGGCTAAGATCCAAGGTTACGACTTGTACGGAAACATTTAGAACCTGAATAACCGGCACATACTACGCGATCGGCAAGCAGCAAGCATAATCCGAACCCGTGTACTAAACGTGAAATCACCTACATGTAACCATAATAAGCGTAAGTTCTTGCTATCCCAGCATGTATTATAAACCGAGATACGTGATGTGAAAAATAATTACGCAATACTCAAGTGCAATTGCTTGTGAATAATAGGCACCTAGAATGCGAACATTGTTTTCCGCTCTCTAATCTGTGCTGATTTGCGAGGAGGGATTGATTTGATACAGCCTTAACTTCTCCAGGAAAATAACTTTATTCGCGAAAAAATTCTACATGAATAAAAATCTATCAACAAAGCGGGCAAAAATGGGAACGATATTTTATAAGAACTGCTTTGAAAAGACAAACCGTGGTGATGTAGGATGGATAGATGATCACTGAACTAGACACAAATGCCACCATTTGAAACGACGCTAGATTCTTGATGGTCACGGAATTCCAAATCACTTCTGTATACAGGAGCGTCGAATTATTGGACAAAGTATCAGTTTCTAACCGCCCATCCATTAATATGGCACTTCAATGTTCCAGTGTTTGTTATTGCCTTTCGATTATCTATTCGTTCAACCTATTGTAAAATCAGATGTGTAAAGATATACTGTGGACACATGCATGCGATCTTTACGACATTTAACCAAAGCACCTATCTCAAACATCTGATTGGTTTGATAAAGTGATCTTCAAAATCGCTTGATGCGACCTATATGAAAAAGCCACTAATGCAAGTCTCCACACATCCATGTCAGGGCGAATTAAGGCTGCTCTTAATCATCGCCTAAATCCTAGTCGCCGTGGAGAGCAAACCAAAGCAGCAAGGAGAATCTTTACACGATAAAACAGCACTGACCGGAAACATTCTCGATCTCTCGCGAATTACCAGATATCGCACTAACTCCAAAGGCGTTTTTGAGTGCGCAT